CTTCTAAATTTTAGTCAAATGCATTTATATTTGATGAGAGTGAATGACACTAGAACTTTTATTTTGATGTTTTTCATGACATTGGGAAGGACCATGATTTGAATCAATGTTTATATTTCTAAATCTGATCACTTTTTGTATGGTGATGAAAAAAATACATCTAACAAATTTTGAAAGCTTTTATTTACAATTTATGATTTATCTTTAAATAGTTTTTCTTCGTTTTGAGTCAAAGGCTACGTTTTGAATCCATTTCCTTTGAAGAAATGCTAATAATAGCATGTCAGCTTGAGGAACCCATGAAACTCCTTTAGCTTTGTTATGGAAGGCCATAATATGATAGCTTTTACCTTGTCAATGTTGACTATCACCTTGTCATTAGAAACCAAATGACCCAAGTATGCAATCTTTGCCTCCCCCAAGACACTTTTTGTTAAAAAAAACACACAAATTTGCACAGAAATTTCTTGAATATCTAGTTCATAAGAGCTTGAAGTAAGGTAGGACATTTGACAAACTAAATAAAATTATGAGAAACTCGCAATGTCTTTCATACCTTCAAAAAGTCTTGTGCATATCTTCCTTTCTAATGAGAATTTGATGATACCTTGATCATAAATATAAATTGAAAAATATAACTGCACTCTATAATTCATCAAGTAATTCTTTTATGGTCAAAATTGAAAACTTGTCAAAGATCATGGCTTTATTAAGAGTGTGGTAATCAACACATAATCTCAATGACTTCTCTTTCTTCTTTACAAGTAGCATTGGACTGATACGGACTATTAAAATTTTGACTTGCTCCAACCTTAATCATTTCATTCAGTAATTTTTCATTTTTCATTTTTGAAAATATGGATACCAAAATGGTCCTATTTTGATGTCCTAGATATTGTCTTTCAATAAAATAGTATACTTTACTTCATGCTCTAGTGGAAGGGTAATATCATCTTGAAAGGTGACAAAGCATTTACTCCACAATCAATGTTTTGAGTCAGAGATGTCAACTGTTGAACTGTCCAATGATATAATGTAAATTACCTTTTCCTTTTGTTACTTTGGATAGATATCTGAAGGATATTTTCCCTACAGCCCCTGGAGATTATGGCTTTAATGTAGCTCATTTTGAGTTGGCTTGAAAAATGAAATCATGAGTTGCTCCAATATTGATGAGCATAATGACTGTTAAACTGGCAATGTTTCATTGAAATTTGAGATCTCTCTAAGGAGATTCATCTGCAATTGAAGTGAGAGACACTTTGCTTCTTCTATAATTACATTGTTGGTGGGATTTCCAGATCATTCATTTTTAAGTTCATCCTTGAAAATTAAATTTTTTAATTCCTTGCAGCATTTACGTCTTAGGAAAAAAAATTCATTACATGAAAACAAAGTTCTTGCACTAGTCATGACTAAATCTCGATGACTATGAGATTGAGCCTCTTTCTTTTAGTGATTGAACTTCTGATATTGAATTAACCTTCTATGCTTGGATTTCTATTATCTCTAATTCTTGGATAAAAAAAATTCAGTCCTTTCCTCTTGTAGAACCCGTAATCATTGGCCAAATTTTTTGAGAATTTTGAATCTTGGTTTTTATGCAAATTATTGAGATGCTTGATTTTGTTGTTTTTCATTTCTACCTTCTGGGAAGTTTTCATTATAGTCATCAACCCAATTGGCTCAAACAAATAGCACCTTGGCCTTGTCTTCTCTTATTCTTTAGAGAATTTTATTCTCAAATATACATTCCAGAAGATCCCCAATGATTGTTGCCATTAACTCAAACTCCTCTAAATTTTCAACTATTGATCCCCACTGTCTACTTTCTACAGATTTCTGTCAAAATAATGCGATTTAATGGACAGTAAAACATCAGAGTAAAATATGTCTTCATTCCCCCCAATTCTGAAATGGTTCTCAGGTATGCACCCATTAAACCCTATTGTTCAAAGCTTATATCTTTTGAGGGTTGGAACATAGAGAAGTATATCTCTACCCTAAAAATTAATCCTTTGAAATCTTCACCATTAAAAATGGACATTTTTTAACCTTGCTCCCTCCTTGTCATGGGTCATTAAATGGAGATTGAGGTAATGATGTGGTAGTTTTCAATTGACAAAGCTCGTAGGAAAATATTTCATCTTCAACATCAATTTGATTAATGTGTTTACAAATCTTGATTGCATTCTCCAGGTAAGTGGTCTTCAACAAGGTCTCTTTGTGAAGAAGAGACAGATTGTGGATAGATGTACTCCAAGGTTTGGAGAATAACTCTAAGCTATTGTTTAATTGCTGAATCTCATCCTGGTTTTCTTCATTGCTAGCCAAAAAAAGTAGTTATATTATGCTGAAAATTCTAACAAATTTCCTTCGGTTCACGTTCAAAAAATTCTATTCTTACATCACTTGTCTTAGGAGGTATTGCTCTGATACCAGTATGGTAGAGGCCCAAATAAAACAAAATGATGGAAAATCAATTGTAACTCATATTGAGCTGAATTTCGAACTGACAAGTTGGTTTTGGACTTAGGAGAGAACAAAGGCACACGATAAGGACAAGGAAGAATACAAGGTAGAGAATTGAGAGGGCCTCCTTCTACAAACACTCCTTCGATTAATTATTTCTATTATTTTAGTAGGTGGGCGGACGGCCCATGATCCGTCTGTTATACCAGAAAAGATTGTTGGTTGACCAAATCGTCACCAGTGTTCCATGATCAACTCCTTTTCCTCCGTGGTGGCCTAGGTAATATGAGTAGCCCCTCAGAACCCTACCCTCTTGTTCACTCACTAAGCTTAACTTCATCACGTCCACACCACCTCTTACAACTTTCCTCCCCTTTAAATGGAGGAACATGAGAAAGAGAAGGACAAAGCAGACAGAGAGAAAGAGAGAGGTTATAACGGATGTAGATCCATTGTAACAGATTTGAGTCTATTATAATGGATGGGGATCCATTATAATTTACTCCCTCCCCTCTCTCTTGCGCTGCTGTAAAGGCCCACTAATTTGAGCTGTCAATAATAACAGGGCTTATCACGCCGAGCATTCCATCTGCCTTCGTTACTTAATGCCTTATTTATCCAGCAGCGACCAGGGTGAGCATCTTATAGCGGTTACACCATCTTCACAGCTTCTTCCGTGCTTCAATTTTTCCCACAACATGGTCCCATCCTCTCCTAGCTCTGCCCACTCTCGGAGGAAAGAGATTTTTGTGAATACTTGAATCGGTCGAGTTTTAATGCCTGGGAACATCGCCTTGGGTTCATGAGACGAAAATAATGAATCATTGCATGGGGACGTAATCGTACTTCCATCGTACTCTATGTCGGAAGATGAGCCCCATTGGAATGGCGCTTTGTGCGTTTAGAGAATATGCCTTACCTAAAGAGGGTGCCTACTATGTAAATAGGCAAAATAGTGCCTTCTGCCCTAAAACTAGCCGCTTACGGCTGTCCCCCCTATCCGGCATCAAAGAGAGAAGCCTTCCTCAAACACCCAGCCGCACTCCTAGTCACCTGGAAGTGCACGGTTGGATCCTTTTTAGACACTGCTCCCAAGCACTAGCTTCTCTTCTAATTTGGCTTTGATCCTTCTCACTCTTCTAATTCTAATCCCAATGATCTCTTTCCTTAATCAACCAAGATGTTGTCCGCACTCAGATCAAGACTGACGAGACCGGAGTCGCAGCGTACAACAAAAGCCTTCTACAGAAAAGTAGTAAACTGTCATCCGTGTGTGGGCAGCAGGCTGGTAGATCTCCTGGTGCCGACTAATCTCTAATCGGCGTGTGCCAAATTTGAGTGACGTCTGGAGTCGCGGAGGACAGTCGCTTTTGCCGACTGTCGGACTGATCTCTTCTCCATCTATGAGATGCCTCCAGTTGGCCTCTATTTGACTTCGGTTCTCTCTTCTTCTTATTCCCCCTTCCCACACCAGACGAGGAGCAGATGTGGTCTTGGGGAGGGAGTTTCGATTTTTGCAAATCTTTTCATAAATTTGGAGTGTAGACGCTTGATCAGCCTGCTCTCGTATTCACCTGCTGAAACATGGTTGGCGTTGAGCTGACTCCGAAGTAAAGTGTGGCTTTGGACGTTTCCTCAACGCCAATTAGCAACACAGGGAAAGTATGCTTCACAACTATAAGCAAGGAGAGGGAAGACTCGAGCATGCGTGCTCACTACTTTGGACATTGCCAGGGGTTCCTCTATTTATTGGGAGAGAGCAGGGTAGGCGGGACAGTTCGTTGCCGTTCTCTGTGTTACGTCCACTGGGCTTACACATGTTCTCGCTAGCTGGCGCACTCTCGCGCCAGTTCGCCTTACGCGCGTCCGTTACGTGGACCCGTGCTTGTTGGCGCTCAGCTCTCCCCGTGCCGCGCATGTCTGCGCCTGCTTGTGTGGCTAACACCGTGCTCCATTGTACGACAACGCGCTGCCGCGTGCACGGTGCTCTTCTGTGCATACCGCGACGTGCTGTCCTGCGCCAACTCGGCGTGCAGTGCGCATCGGACAAACTGCCACACCGACCTACGCATGGAACGATGTTCTGTGAATGGAACCGGGATCCTCCATGATGAGGGCGTACGTACAAAGCGAGCTGGAGAGCCCAAGACCATAATCTTATATTTCTAATGTGCGGTAAGTAACTTAGCCTGCAGATTGCCCATTAGGTGTCACCACGCTTTCGCAGCCCCGACGTTTGTAACTGGGTGACGTGATGGCCGACCTGATGGCATATGTTACGTTCCTAAGGAGAACCACGCCCTAAAATGTATGTCACCATAAAGAGGTAAAGACGCCACTGGGCAATGGCGGAAGAATCAGATGCAGCAGACACCGCGCCAGACGTCAATGGAGGGAAGAAAAGGAAGGATCCACTCCACGCCAAACTCAAGAAGAAAGGAGATTGATCGGAGCAAACGTGAGAGGAACAAGTACACCCGTGGCAGGAAGCTTGGTACATATTACTTGGTGCGCACTTCCTCCCTTGGTCATAACTCCGCCTCCTTGAGCATCTCGGCACCAAGATCACCAGTCGCCCGCGACATCCTCTCTTTGGCCTCCTCGTAGATTACCTTCGCCGCCTCCGTCAGCGTCTCCGTAGCGGTCTTGTAGGCCTCAACCTCCTTTTCCATGGCCTCCCGGTACGCCGCCTCCAACGCCTCCCTGCTCCGGTCCGCCCTCTCGGACACCTTCGCCGAGACATACCGGGCCGCGTCCTCGGCGTGCCCCATCTGCTCGGAAGCAAACTGGGTCGCCGCTGCAACGAGAGGTGTCAAACCATGTGTAGGTGCTACTTTCAGAACCAAGAGAACTAAGGTACGACAGGAACAACTGCCGTGGTGGTGAACACCTGATTCCCTGTCGACGCAGTGATCGTTGGCCTCATAGACGATCTTCTCCGCATTTTCTGTCCCCAGATCAGCAGCTTCCCCTGGGTAACCGCGCCACCAACCGAGGATCCTACTCCCACGGCAAGAAGCACAACAAATTTCCCGTAACTCGGTCGTTGCAGTCAGCGATGCAAGCTAAGTTTCAGAAACCAATCACGGGCACTGAACAAGGCCCGGCGAGAAGAAATTGTGCTGATAATCTACTCACCTAGAGATCATGTCCCGAGTCCAATCAGCCCGCAACATAACCCTCTCCTTGCCTTCCTCCACGCCATCTAAAATCTTGGGCTGTGGATCCTCGGTGGCGTCTTTCATCATGGAGGTACATGTGACGAGGAATGACAACGACAGAGGCAGCAGCGGCAGCAGAAAGACGAGCGCCGGCACACCTGCTACTGTCTTCCTTCCACGAGCCATCGGCAAGTCTTTCAGACAATGCCTTCAGACAGGGGCAGCCGCAAGCGAGAAGCGAAGAGGAGGCGGTCGAAGGGAGATGGCCGTCTGCAGCGTGGCATCTCAAGGAGGCAATGAAAGCTGGCAACAACACGTGTTCGCTGATCCCGATTTGGCCCCCGATGATCGTCAACTGACGTTCATCACGATCATTTTAGTTCTGCTGAACAATAACTTTGGGCCTTTCATATTTTCTGCAAATCTGTTTTACATCATTAACTTAGCTACTCAACTAAAAAGTTTTTCCGTTATCTACCTTCTCAACTTTTGACTCTGATTCAAGTTGAAAAACTCAATAATATTATTTGTAGTGACATTTCTTTCTTCAACAATCATGGTGGTCTTTTATTTTTTTAGAGCCTGTAGAAAAAAATGGATTTATTTCAGTATATTTTCTTCATCTCTTCTATCCATGATAAATACAATGGATTAAGAGCATGAATTTTCAAAAAAATTATAACGATTTTGAAAAGAAAGGCACCTATATATAGTGTTTGCTTTTCAAGGATTTATAGGTTTGAAATTGAAAAAATACAAAAAATATTATCAAAAGTTTATTAAAAAATTGGAAAAATATTTGTTAAAAAATCTCTAAGATTTTGAGTCTGATTGCATGACCCATTATGTTATTTTTGATTTTAGAAGAAGAGAGTTGGCTCATGTATATAAAACTTAATTAAATGAGTTTTCACTAAGAGAGAAAGTCATTGTGTTAAAGTAAATTGATAATCATACATTTATAAGACTAGACTCTACACACATGAAAAACTCATAAACCATTTAGTCCTGAAAGTTTTATTAATTCAATTTCTTTTGTGGAAAGTGATCAACTTAATTGGTTTGAGAAATGATCAATTTGCCCTTATGGGAGTGACTCTATTCATCTTATGTGAAGAAAAGATAACTCTTACGGAGGGGTAACATGAGCCAATTAGAGGCTATGAACCAATTTTGAGGAAAGTGTATCAAGGGGTAACATGATAATATCACGTCACTAAATTATTTGAATATACATGAGCTTTGCATATAGTGTCAATACGTGAATTTAAGTTGTAGAAAAGTTGGTAAAACTTCATGGCTGATGTTTTTAATGTTTTTTTATTTTTTACTTTCCTACAAGGAATGAGATGACTTGTGAAGAGAACATGTAGAATTAGGGAGCCCCATGATGGGAGAAATGAGAATAAGACAAATTTATATAGTACTCACAACTAGTCATTTGGAAACATGACTAATCATTGGGGTGGTTATTTTTTACTACTAGAGGGACAAAAATGAAGTGAAAAATACTCCAAGGATTACCCTCCCTAGTGCCTCATACGAAGATTTAACAATCTGGCAACTCATTTTCATAGTCTATGTTAACTATTCAACAAGTTCCTCTTTAAAAGAAGCTCACACATTTATAAGACCCACCACATATTAATGTGAACATAAACCTTACGCCACATATATAAGAGAATTTAATTTTTTTATTCTTGTAATAGAATAATTGTACTACTCAACCTAATTAGAACCATAATTCTAGAGTTAGGTGAAGTGGGCACTAATCTAGTTGGTCCCATAGAGTTATGAATCTGAAGGGATTGTTTTAAGAAAATACTAGGTAGACTAGAGCCATGAGATGTAGTGTGAGGCTAATTGAAGATGAAGCTTTTGTATTCAACTAATGTTCTAACAAGTATATTGAACTTATTGTCTGTGATCATCAAAAGTGAAGTTCGTCATGTAGGCAGAAATGCTATAATTTTTAGTTCTACAAATTGATAGTCAACTTGAATTTAGAAGTAAACTCAAAAAAGCCTAATTCACCCCTCTTCATTTTTCATGTAACCTCATTCAAACCTACAACTTCTTTTATTAGTTGATTATAGCCATTTTTTTGTCACACAAAATAATCAAATAATGGAATGAAAAGTAGTTATTTAATATATAATTATAATTTTAAAGAAATAATGTAGGTTATTATTGGTACTAATAATTTAAATAAATTCATGAATTACATAAACAAAACATTATTAGTTTAGACATCTTAAATTTTCTCTCATAGCATGTTTTAAATTTCCAATTTTACTCACACTAAAAAATATTTAATGTTGATTATCAAGCTCTCATTATAGTTACGTCTAACTAGAAAACACAAACACCTCGCTGGGGGCGCCAATAAGTTTTTTATTTGTTTGAGAAATCCGGACACATACTTGGAGAGATGGTTAATACATGTTTGGTACCGAGCGCCACAAGGTCTTTTTTCAAGAAAATCTAGAATAGCCAGAACATTTGAATTATCGGATCATAAAAACCCCCTTATCGCCGTGTAGGAAGAATCGGAATGTAGATCCCAGAACACAAATAATAGATACCGAGCGGGTATCTTCTCTCTCTCTCTCTCTATGCCTAGAAATAATAGAAAAATGGTAGACACTCGAGACTCAAAATCTCGTGCTAAAGAGCGTGGAGGCTTGAGTCCTCTTCGAAGCATAATATTGAGAATGCTTATTCAATGAACAATTCAAGATAGGAAAAAGAAAAAACGCGAAAGGTGATTGGATTGATGATAAAATAGGATCCTGGGTCGCGAACAGTGATTCGATTGATGATGACGAAAGCGAATTCTTGGTTCATTTCTCCAAAATAAGGATAGAAAAAAGAATTGATCGAATTCTATTGAGTCTTATGGTAACTTCTTTGTATCTGGAAAAGGGTAGTGGATTCGCCGATTTATCACGTACCTCTAAAGTCCACTCACTCCCCTGTGGGGGGGGGGGCAGAGTTACATATGTAAAGAGAGAAAGAGAGGCTGATGGAGACGAAGAGACCGAGAGAGAAAGAAAGCACTTGGTGGGTGGGGGGATTGGGAGGGAACGGAGAATTTAGTGTTTATGTTAGGATAAGTTTAAACCATTTTTTTCCAAGTCAAGAAGATAACCGTAAAATTTATATGTTTATGAACCAGGAGCCTCATCATAGAGCTAGGACCCCAGTCAATTAGAGCTAGGCTCGAGTTCACAGAAGAACTGCCAAGTCAATACACAGCAAATCACTAGAAGTCAGCAATCAACATTGAAAGATTGACAAAAAAAAAGCTACTACAAACAAGTGTCCACATTGTGAGAAAAAGTAACATCACTCAAGACTTCCGTTAAACTAAAGCATTGACGCCTAACTCTCTACAGCCAAAAGAGCAGCAAAAGCATTTTAAAATAAAACCAACTTTTGGCTCAGAATTTCCTGAAGTATGGTCCTATACTTCCGGAAATTTTGACTTTTGTGCATTTCAAGAAGTTTTGAGTCCATGGAACATCCGGCTATCCTCAAGTGTTCTTTAAATCTTACACGCACTTAAATTCTGGTCTCAGTCGTACAAATGTTCACTTTATTAGTATTAATGTAAGGAAATGCTCAATTGTCCATCACAATAGGATGGAAATTACTCGGGTAGTTGGATGGGTTAGAGAGATCAAGACATTACAGTTCCGCACTTATAACTCTGGTTAAATCATACCACTGCCTTTAACTTCAAAGCGAAACTGGAAAGAAATAATCAAATATCCGCATTGTGACTTGTATTTTTTCTATGTAAAATGGGTGAAGTCAATATTGGCCTCCACTTAGAGATATCTGTGGGTCGATCTCCACAAGGAGCCAGGGGTGAAAGGGGATAGCATGTGGAGAAAACACAGGCGTCAAGGTGGTGTGGTGTTCGCGTGAAGGAGCCAGTGTTTGGGCATGATGAACTCTGAGTTCCAATTTGTGAAATGTATATTCTTTCTTTCTTGATTTTTCTCCAGGTTGAGGTTTTCCACATGCACTATTGCGTATTGTGATGTGTTCTGTTCTGTCCGTGTTTTTGTTTGACTAACGTGTAGTTTGGTGGTGGGGAATTTAATTGCATCTCACGAGGAGATACAGCTCTGAGTGGGACCAGACTCTAACATCGGACCTCCAGTGTTGTAGCTCTTCAGTGTTTCCTTAGGAGGAGAAAAGAAGAGGAAGTAGTAAGCGAAGGAAATGGACACATAAGAAGATAGAGAGGAAGGAGGCGGTAAACAGCCGTAGGGAAACAAGGTAAAGAAAATGTGCTGCAATACTAATGCTGCATTCTAATAAAATGTGAACAACTCCTGAATTCACCAGAAAAGTCAGGCATAGAGGTTATAAACCATGAAGACGCAATAATTTTGTTGCACATGATAATTATTCTAGATTGAAAGTGGTAATTATTTAAAACTCAAATTAACTTCGGGTTAGTGATGTATCTCGGGCTGCGAGATTACGATGATGTTTGTGCACTATTGTCCTGTATATAACTGAGAATCTTAAAGCCAAACATGGGCAAAATCTGAGGATTTGAGGGACAAAAATACTCCCAGAGGAGGAAGATTGACCCTATCATTTCGCTCCATGCTACTTCTTATTTTTCAAGATGAGTGGAGCTTGAATGAATGAGTGAATCACAACAGAAACTTTTTCCATCCGTAAGGGTACAAATAACAACAGTTTCAGGAGAATGATCTGCCACGGAAGACGAGACGTTAAAATGCTCCACCTGATCAAGAAAATGCGAAACTCTCGCAGGAAGAGTGAATATGGAAATAGGTCAGTTAAAATGTTCACAATTAATAATCAGTCATACGCTTTTCTTCAATTGGTTGAGGTTTTCTGGCTCAAGTCACAGAAGAAATATATTTTTTCATAACATCACACTTTCTCAGGAACAGTGTTCCTTCATTTTATCTATTGTGTGGAAACCAACTTTAAAGTTGCTTGATTTCGTTGCCTTACTGGTATCTGGGCAAGTAGGGAAGGGAAGTTATCTATTCTGGCTCATGCTGCATATTAGTCCACTGAACAAACTTTATGATATCTCATACAAGAACGGCCAGAGGTATGTCGCCCAACGGTCAAGGTGAATCTAATAACATTAACGTAACGCATAGACCTAATGTGCGGCTGTTAGGCTCTCGACATGCTGAGAAATTGTAAGCATAAATAAAGTATCGACACAGATTAATAAAGTCGAGCGTTCATAAATGTCAGGATCTATGAGACCGATGGTAGCTTGTAAAATAAGAATAGAAGTTTTAAATCCATATATGATGGCACGAACTAATGTACCTCCCAATCTATAAAATTATCACCAACCTGATGTTGATGAAAAAAGGGACAAAAATTGATCAAGAATGTAAACTTAACAAGGGGAATTAAAATGTATAGGTTACCTTCATTTTTAATCTCACAGAAGAAGCTGTTTTAACACTGAAAAGAGTATGGTATCAGGAATTTAGTTCTTCCATGAGCATAAATAAGACTTTGCAGTCCGACGAATTACACTGTCCTAATGGGTTATGTTCCAGAAGTTTGTCAGGCACTCAATCATGAACTAATGTGAAGGCATATTCAGGCAGAAGAGGCAATAGCATCACGAGGCTGAAGTATGGTGGAGTGGAATTAACACATGAAAAATGAAAATACTAGCCACATGGATAAAAGCTCACTGCACTAACGACACCCCACCAGATGACAACGACGGGAAGTTCATCTCTGAGTGAGAGAGAGAGAGGGAGATGTGCGAAACTTCAGCCAAGATTTGGGATGCTGTGAATTACATCAACCAGTTGAGACTGCATCTGCAATTGGTGCTGGTGCTGTTGCTGATGTTGATGCTGGTGGGGATGTAAATTCTGGGGCGGGTGCAAATGCTGGTGTTGTTGGGGCATCTGTTGCCGCAGGTGCGACGGAAGTGCTGACGGAACTCCAACAATCTGCGAAGCCTCAATTGATCCTCCATTGGCAGCTACCATTACAGCAGCACCAGAGGACACTGTTGCCAGCGCCGCCGGCATGCCCTTGGCTTCCACAAGCCGCCACATGTACCAGGAGCCTACGGAGCGGTAGGGTTTCCACCTTTCGCAGAGCTGTTCCATCTGGGATGGTCTGGGGAGTGTGTCGAGACCATATAGGAGCTGAACTCCCTTGCGCACGCCAACATCTCCAACGGGGAGAACATCAGGACGGTGGAGGGAAAATATCATAAACATGTGAACGGACCAGGCACCAATTCCCTTGACCATGTTAAGCATAGTAAAAAGTGACTTGTCGTCCATAGCCACAATTGACGAATCGGAAAGAATGCCGCTCCTGTACTTGTTGGCGAGATCATGCAGGTAGCTGGCCTTGCGAGCGGAGACCCCAATCTGACGCAGCTGATGTGCACTGAGACCGAGCACGACTTCGGGAACGACGCCATCCTCACCGCCGCAGAGTGCCAGGAAACGAGAGTAGATGGAGGCCGCAGCCTTAAAGGCTAGCTGCTGGTAGAGGATACTGCGCGTCAGGGAGTGGAATGGCGGGTGGAGGCTCTGGAAGACGGGCGGATCGTGGGCATCGATGACCTGGGCCAGCTGGGGATCGGCGGAGCGCAGGTGACCAATGGCGGCGGCGACCTCGCCTTGCGCTGATAAGGGGCGAGGTGGCACGCGGTAGACTGTCCGTGGATGGTTGTGGATCACCACTGGCCCGGCGACAACTATGGCACCATTGTTGCCTTCCTGAGAGGCAGCGCCGGGCTCCACCTTGTCGTCAGTCTCTTGCTTGGCGGCGGCAAGTTTCCTTGTCTTTCGGGGACGGAAGGGGATCTTCGCCGGGCCGTTCGAGGGAGCCGTCCCCGCGGCAGCCGATTCCGCTGCCGTGGTTGGGAGATCGAGGTTTCCGGCTGAGCCGCCGGAGGCAGAGGGATTGTGGTTAGGGTTGATACTGATGTTACGATCAGATGTGGAAACGTGGGACAAGAAAGGAGTGGATGGAGTCGGACGGGGAGATCCAGCTGCCGGCGATGGCACTGCCGATGGGGCCGTCGGTGGCGGTGCGGATGCCATGGGGGAAGCGGGAATAGGACATTGAGAGGATTTTGTGACCTTCAACTGCGGCTGGGAAGCCTGCGGTTGGGGGTTGGACATCGATTAGATTGCGGAGGATGGCGGGGGAAAGAGGGTTCGGTGACGCCCTCCGCTGCGGCTGATGCGGACGCTGCTCCCTCCTCCAGGGGAGATGCCACAAGCTCTCTTGCAGTCTTGGAATCCCCCTTCTCTCTCTCGCTGAACACCTCCCTACTCCCAAACAGCCCACCTACTCTTGTGCAAGAAGCACACGTGCAAAATGTCATCGGCACATTTGAGGACATCCCGGCACGTACCGAGGATTTATTTTTATGATGAAGCCCCGAAATTCGAAGGCATGGTTCTCCGTCTGTGGGGAAATATTTCCGTCTCTTAAAGTATAGACGTCCACCGATATGCCGAACGGGTAGGCAGGCGATGGGAGCTCTTCTGTGCCTGGTCACCCCCATACTCATCAGTTATCTGGGCCTCGACTGTAAGCCCATAGCCCATTTGGTCGTCGTTTGGATAAATTAGAGCATCTCTCGCACTTTTCCGACGTGTAAAAGAAAAATGGGCCTGCCACCCTTTGGGCTTAGCCTCGGCCCAACTATGCGCTGGCATGGCACCCTCGGCCGTCCACTTCGCTGTCATTGTACTCGGCGTGGATCGGTCAATCTCGAGTACTCGCCTTTCTTCGTGGCCTTTTCGCCGTCACCTTCAAGAGCTTGATTTTGGACAACAAGAGAGCATCCCTGATGAAGGACAAACGAGCAAGGCCATCCCCGCTCATCCACACCCCCCCTCCCCCCCCACCCCCCCCCCCGAAGATATTTGAATGGACATTTTTGTTTCTCGCGTACAAAACTGGAGAGTGAGGGCAGAAAATACTAGTCTTTGAGACGGAAAGCAGCAATGCGAGAAGGAACCATCCACGGGCGCCGTCTTGGGTTTCACCTCCTGCCTCTAAACCAATCAGGAAGCGCGTACGCGTTGGGAGAAGGACTACAATTGTCGGAACTAATCTTGATCCGCCGGCGCAGGAAGAGAAAGTGGTCGTCCCATCTTTCACGGTTTTAGCCTTCTTTCAGGGACGGATCAACGCTCTGCCCCGGAATTCCCAACTGGCTCAGAGGAGGCTGTGTGAGAACTCCGCCGCATGGTGGGAAGCGGGAATGTTTGACCCCCAGGAAAGGTAGGGCACGTCCACGGATTCTGGTAGCCACATCCGACTGCCTGTTGAAGATGGTTAGACGGTAGCTCCAGATGCGAAGCTGTGGACAATGTGGTGGAGGAAGATGTGGATGAAGGGTTGCCCGCGAAAGAGCCGGCGCGCCTCTCTTCCTTCTTGTGGCGGATGCCGCATGCGTTGCACAGAGACTGCACCAGATATCCCGTACATGGAAAACAAAGGCCTCGGATATTGAGGGGAACCGACATAGTATCTTATCTACTAGAAAAAGGGGGCAAGCGAGTTCATTCATGTGGTGGCAGGTTACCTTGGGGCCCCGAGGGCCATTCCTCCATAGGGGTGTGGTGGTAGTGTCGCAGTTAGCACACCTCCGACCAAGCAGAGGGTCTCCTCCTAAGTTGAAGCTACTGCCGCCCGTCCCTGTTTCTCTAATGGCGGGGATCAAACCTCCACCTGTTTCTGTCGACGGTGTCTGATCGGGCTGGAAGGGCATGGAATCGAAACGGAGTGGGTAGTTGTGGGGTTTCTGCTGCGAGATAAGAGACAGCGTCGAGGCCTTGCTGTGGGGCTTCGACTGGTGGCCTGTGGAGGGTGTTCCCAGGGAAAGGGTGCAGTCAACCTGAGAGGAGGACCTGTCCCCTTCCTCTGGCTGTCCATGGAAGCCGGTCGGAGCTAAGAAGATTGAGAACGACCCCGAGCGACCACCCATGCCTCGGGAAAGTCCACACGAGCATGGCATCAATGCGCTTCCTTGATCCTGGGACGAGAAGCGTCTTCTGTGCGTACTGCACTTCTGCATCGCTGCTACCTTTGATGGTCACTTCACGAGGAAGGACAAAGCTGCTGCTGCTGCAGCTGCTCTCTCTCTCTCTCTCTCTCTCCCCTTCTCTGTCGGATTTCTCCCTGAGCGAAGGATTTGAGTCGGAAAGGATGCAAGGAGGGTAAGAGCCGGTGGCTGCAAAAGGGAGTACGAAGGCCAAACGGGGTTTAATGGCACAGAGTATCGGCTATCGGAGCAGCAATACTGCTCTCCAGCTTTATATGTGGACACGTGGAGTATTTATAATGTAACCTCACTTACCTAGGTCCTCTCTCTGGAGATGTCACTCGGGTTTGCGGCTTCTCCTTCCTCCGTAGTCGATGGTCGAAGGGAAAGTTTTCGTTTCCCTTGGACACAGTCATGAAACAGTGAAGCGACTGGTATGAAGGAAATGTTCGCATTGCATTCTCGATGGTGGAAGGAGTGTTCCTGGTAAGTTTGTCTCTTCCTCTCGGACAAGAAAGAAACTCGCGGCTAACTTTTGAGAGAGAGGAATAGGGAGGCACCAGAGAGAGATGGGTGTCCCAGGGGGGGAGGTCAGTCGTCGGGAGAGCTAGCAGACCACGCCGTTTGGCACTCACACCTTCAGTGTCTCTCTCCGTCGTTTATGCCCCTCCCCTCCCTCTCGCTCTCTTCACTTCGGCCCTAAATCTCGCCCAGGCCAGTTAATTGGAACCACGCTCCTCGGTTTTTGGGTCTCTATCGATAGCTCCTTGTGGTCGCAACCCTGGCGGTGACGTGCAACGCGGCTCGTCATTCAGCTTTCTGCAGCGGCGTGTGATCCCGATCGCCTGCTGCTCAGAGAGTCAGGCAGAGGGCAGCCAGCGGTCGTAGGAAGGGACCCCAAGGGATTGAAACATAGGCACGGCAGACGATGCCCGGCAGTCAAAAGGAGCCCACGTGACTTTCGGGACGGTCTTCCATAGCGATTATCCATTTCCAGGTCGAGATGCATTGTTTCCCGATCACGGTGGGTACGGAAGCGGAGGAAGGAGACAGACAGTAAACGGCTGGTCATGTCCTGTTACTCTCTGGCAGCAGAAGAAGAGAAAGGAAAACGGAACCCCCCAGATGGTTAGAGGATCTTCAAGGCAGGAAAATTGAGAGATTTCCGAAGAGCGGAATCTGTTCACATTTACGGACAAGGGCAACCATCTCCGGTTTCATTCCCCGCGCTTCCCAACGGAGCGGGAGAACAAGAGTAAACAAACCAAGTACACGTGGGCGTGCGCGGTCCGAGGCTTTCAAATGTCGGGACTTCGAGGCCCCCCTGAGAGAGGCAGCCGGCCAACGCACGGCAGATATCTCCGTCACTCAGAGCCATGGTGCCCCGTAATGGGGCTGGTTACGTCTGTACCTGCTTGTCTTCTGACGTCTCAGCGAAAGAAGACGGCGGCGTGCGGAAGCGAAAATCGAAGACTGATCCCCCGGAGTACAACAAAGATATTGATCGATCTCCTTCCTGTTTCCGCCTCCTGCTATCCGTCTCGAGCGCATCGAACGATCGAGCTGAAAAAAAGAAAGCCATACCTAGGTAGCAATCATCTTAGTCATCCTCAACAATGCGTCCCCATGGGATCCTACCTCCAAGCTCCCAAGAAGGGCACCGGCCGTGGGGCTTCATGCGATGATGGTTACTCTTTAGCCCATTCTACTCTTTTCATCGCCAACGAGTCTAGACAGACAGACGGAGAGACAATCCCGCAGCAACCGGCATATGGATATACTCTTGTATACTTGCTTCAAACAGTGGCACGCGAGCAGGTCTTCCTTCGTGGGTAGGGAGGGGGAAGAGAGAGAGAGAGAGAGAGAGAGCTTACGTGAGGACCCGCCACTACAGCCGCGTCCTACACAATCGAACTTCTTCCGTCCGACAGAAACAGGCAGTCCACGCATCGAAGGAAACGAGATTAGAGAGGCGATTTAAATTTTCTCTGAGAAAGTAAATTAAAGAAAAGAAAAGTCGGAAAGAAAAGCTAGGCAACAAAAGGGCGAGCACGATGATAGACGACTGGAGGCCGTGGGTGGAACCCATTACTGTTGTTTAGCCATCTCCTCGTCGGCCGTGGCACGGTTAGCGTACTGAGAGCATTCAAAATTCGACAGAGCCCTTGGAGGGGGAGCCTCCCCCACCTCTTGCCGCATAGAGATCAGGGACCTGATCTCCCATCACTGCACTGCGAGGTTCCAACGAGGCTCGGGATTTGATCGTCTGGGGCTCCTCCCTCGGGCTTGCCCACCGCTTTCCGAAAGATGCCGCCAGACCTTCACCAACCACCTTAAAGACCGAGCCCGAAGATCAACCCGTCCCGGAATCCGCCGCGGGGGAGAACACGACCGCCGCCTCTATGCGGCACTCGAGCCCATGGGCAGCATGCGTATGCGCGGCTTCGCCACTTCGTACGAAGCTACCCGAGGAAACATAAAGAGCTCTCTCTATTTGGCAGTGTGGACTGCCGAAGAAAAAACCCACGACGATGTAGTCAACGGGCAGGAAGAAAGTGTGTGCGACAGTGTAGCAAGGGGGATTTCACGTCGGGCATATGAATATGAAGGGAAAACCCGCCGATTCTCTCTGAAGACAAGTAAAAGAACGGTAAATAAGCCGTGAAATAGATACACCACGCTAGTCAGTAAGCTACCCGAACGGTACTTTTTCGACGACAAATACAACCTAAAGAAGAAAAAATAAAAATAAAAAAAAAAATACAACCTAAAGAAATGGGTGCAACTGGTGGGTGCGGGGCTCCTGAGTCTGCTAATGCAGTTCAGATATTAGCAACTCAGAAAAACTCGATATAAACTCACTGACGCATGTTCGAGTTCCTTCTTCTCATCCTCCGGAAAGCGTCCGCAAGTTCCCGCAGTTCTGTGGCACCAAAACTATTCGTTATTATGGTTTCCTCCTGTCCTCCTGGACGAGGGATCGACAGAGAAGGGAGAATATAAGAGAAATGTTCTTATGCGGCCCATCCGGGTGAGTCCTACCGCCTCCCCCCGTTGCCGCCATTCCTTCCCTGCCACTTCACTGCTCACGCTAGCACCCCCCATCTCCCATCGTTCTGGTGGTTTTCTCCGTTGTTTCGCCGTCCCGCACTCATCCCTTCTCTGTTGTGACCCCTGTTCGTTAAAGCCAGCGTAAGACGATAATTTCTTCTGTTAGTTCACTGAGAACTCGGTCAAAGAACAAACCGTAATACCCGAAAAATCATAATCGAACAGTTTCGGGAGACTAAAAGTTGCAGAAATCAATTTATGAGGGTTTATTGGCGGCTTTGGCATGAACTGAGGACCTAAAAAGCCCGTTTTCTTTTGGCTTATCTGTATTATCTTCCTGTATTCAACGCTCTCATTCGAATATCATCAAATGGGGGAATTATGTTTCAGCTTTTCAAATGGCGGAGCCAACAAATTTGTGTTATGTGATAAATAAAACTCGTACCCAGCAATAGATTGATCGATGGAAGGCAAGCAACCAAGCGGACGAAGAATGAAATAATCACATGATGCCCGTGCATTCATCACATGAGAAAAAGAGAGACCTACTGTTTAATCCTGTGGCCCGCCGGCTCCATGTTTTTAACAAAGCCTCCATCGTAAACAGCTACAATGACATATAGCAGCACCGTCGGATGAATCAATGATCAGGGAGCACCGCTGTCGTACCGCGGACATTTCGGAAATAATGAGAAAACTTTTGACGGTTCTAGAACAGTATCTCTGCACTCAGGATGGCAATGACTTCCTTTATACACGGTTCTTGTGTTTATGTCACAAGGCACCTTCTAGGATAAAAATAATTCCTTGTTAGTCCAATTTAATTTTATGGCCTCCAAGTTCCACTCAAGTGAAAGCTACTTTTTTGGTGTTGCCCATGCACAAAAGTTTATTACACTACTTTTTTGTTACTTAAAAGTCGTCAGGATAATTTGGTCCAAAAGCTCTATTGAGGAAAATTCTGTCAGTCATCTTGCTCGTTGTTTCCATCCAAATACATCACTTCGAGTAGATTCACATGGATTTTACTGCTTAAACATTAAGAAAAGTACCAATCCTATTTCAGAAGCAATTAAAAAAGCATCAAAGGTTATCCTAATTTTCAGTAAGCTGTAAAAACATCTTCTGAACTCATTGAATCACTAGACTCTTGTTCCAAGAAAAGTGGGGAAGAAGGAGAGAAGAAAGTAGGAAACGAGAAGTTGAAAGAAAGGCAAGGCAATTACAACCTCTCAACGATTCAGCTGAGATCATGTAGCAGTGGTCCATATCTACCTGGTTGTGGTAGACATCAGGTAGTAAACTTTCTCTCCATTCTCTTTCTCACCACTGGCAACTGACAGAACATGTGAATCCCATGGGTAGGGACGTGAACCAATGGCTACGGACTCGACCATGCTCCTGAGTATGAAGAGCTGCCTTGTATCACGTAAGGATGCTCTACCGTACCGAACATTTGCACGCTTTGCCTCTTGCAAACCTACAACCACTTCCTCTTGCACGTAGGGGATAACAAACTTATGCAGAAGAAAAAGAGAGATGGATATTCTTTCCGATGTACCTGATAAGATCGCCACATTGAAAGGAAGAGTTCCATGAAATAAGGGATAGCGAGAATGGTAATAACATCAGCATACAAGGTTTGAAGTTTTATGCAACTAGCTCATTTAACTCTCAAACGCAAATCAGTACAAAATCCTCAGAATCCTAAAGATTCTTTCTCTTATGATTTTGATTAAACTGTGTAAAGGAAGAATACAAAAGCTAGACATGAACTAATGACAGGTCAAGGAAAACCATACACAGCGAAACAATCAATTTGAGTTATCCTGGATTGTGGATAATAGTCATGGAAGAAGAGGGCGTCTAACTAGAGCGCTTGGCACTAGAAACAGCGAAATTTCAGAAAATCTCTTCGGTGTCCACATTTTCTGTGTGATAATTGATGTTCATATTTGGGAATCGAAAATTCTAACCGTCATACAGCCCAAGAAAATAAATTACGATTCACAAACGGGACATATAGCACATGGTATGTCGTCCCTTTCAATGTGGACACAAAAGAGATAAATTCACAGCACAAACAGAGAGACGTTTTCCAAACATAATTTGACAATGACGACACCTTAAGAATGACTCGAGCACAGAAACCGTCAGGTATGTGATATGAATAACCACGTGGAAAGTAGAAAAGAAATAGAGAGGCTATAGTTTCCAAGGAAACCACAGAAGACAGATGAATCAGACATGTGGCATGGAGTTAAATGTCCATGGACTCAACAATGCACACGAGAGCGGCTTTATCAATGCGCTGACACAAAGGCTGCTGTTTTTTCCATCTCCACAACTGTTACACTATCCGCCAATTCCACAGGGTACCTATCGATGCAGTCATGCCACGGGTTGTTTGGAGAAGGCTTAACAGTTTGGAGAGCCTGCCAGACGGCACTGTTGCACTTAAACCCACTCCCAAATGCAATCTGCCAGATGCGGTCTCCCCTCCGCATCCGCCCCTTAGCCTCCACGTACGCCAGCTCGTACCAGATGGAACTAGATGACGTGTTCCCAAAACGGTGCAGGGTCATCCTGGAGGCCTCCACATGGATCGGAAGGAGCTGAAGGTTCTTTTCTAGCTCATCGATCACTGCCCTACCTCCCGCGTGGATACAGAAGTGGTCAAATGCGAGCTTGAAGTCTGGAATATAGGGCTTTACTTTGGCGTTGAATAACTTCCTTATCACAAGTGTTGCAAAGAAAAGTAGTTGTTCGCTAATGGGCAGGACAAGAGGCCCAAGGGTCGTAATATTCGTTTTAAGGGCCTCACCAGCAATAGCCATAAGATCCTTAGACAAGGAGACACCAACCCTGCCCGTGTCATCCTGTTCTTGGTAAACGCATCTGAATGACCTGTCATCAGCTCCTCGGTGGGTTCGGACAACATGCAAAAGTTTGTACTTGGCCCTTTGGCGGTCAGCTGCAATGTTGGACAGGAGAAGAGCTGCTCCACCTACACGGAAGAGGCAGTTTGGTATGAGCATGGACTTGCGATTGCCAAAATACCAGTTCTGGGTGATGTTCTCAGTGCTGACAACAACGGCATAGGTGTTGCTATGGACTTGAAGGAGGTCCTTTGCGAGGTTAACAGCAATAACACCAGCACTGCAGCCCATACCACCCAGGTTGAAGCTGAGGATGTTGCCCCTAAGCTTGTACCGATTCACAATCATGGAAGAAAGGGACGGCGTGGGGTTGAACAAGCTACAGTTGACCACCAGGATGCCAATGTCTTTCGGCCGAACAGAAGTATTGCAGAAGAGGATATCGAGTGTACCAAACATGACTTGCTCAGCCTCTTCACGTGCAGTAGCCATGGAAGGCTGGGGCGGCAGGCAGTGCATGGCCTCAGGGAAGTATGTTTCCTCACCAAGCCCAGAGCGCTCAAGGATCTTGCGCTGGAACTCAAGGGACGATTCATCAAAGGCACCACTCAACCTAGAGTGCTTCATGAACTTGCTGAAGGGGGCACGGAGCGCATCTGGCGCACGGTAGCAGGCGTAGTCGACAAGGTAGATGGTGCGAGGGCGGGTCATGCAATAGACAGTGGAGCCAAATAAGAGGAAGGTAGAGCAAACAATTAAGCCGAAAAGATTGTACCAAAGATCGTGCCAGAGCTGGTAGAGGTCATCGCCGCTTGTGCGGCTCGCCTCGATGATTATGACGACCATGAGTAGGATGAGGAGGGTGAACAGGTGGCGAAGTGGCACGCGGTAGACTGCCCGTGGATGGTTGTGGTTCACCACTTTCCCGGCGACAACTATGGCACCATTGTTGCCTTCTTGAGAGGCAGCGCCGGGATCCACCTTGTCGTCAGTCTCTGGCTTGGCGGGGGAGCAGGTGGCGGCGAGTTTCCTTGTCCTTCTGGGACGGAACGGGATCTTCGTCGGGCCATTCGAGGGGGCCGTCCCCGCGGCAGCCAATTCCGTTGCCGTGGTTGGGAGATCGGGCTTTCCGGCAGAGCCGCCGGAGGCAGAGGGATTGTGGCTAGGGTTGATACTGAGGTTGTGGTCAGATGTGGAAACGTGGGACAAGAAAGGAGTGGATGGAGCGGGATGGGGAGATCCGACTCCCGGCGATGGCACTGCCGATGGGGCCGTCGGTGGCGGTGCGGATGCCATGAGGGAAGCGGGAATTGGACATTGAGAGGATTGCGTAGCCTTGGACTGCGGCTGGGAAGCCTGCGGCTGGGGGTTGGACATCGATTAGATTGTGGAGGATGGCGGAGAGAGAGGGATCGGCGACAGCCACCGCCGCGGCTGATGCGGACGCTGTTCCCTCCTCCAGGGGAGATGCCACAAGCTCTCTTGCAGTCTTGGAATCCCCCTTCTCTCTCTCGCTGAACACCTCCCTACTCCCAAACAGCCCACCTACTCTTGTGCAAGAAGCACACGTGCAAAATGTCATCGGCACATTTGAGGACATCCCGGCACGTACCGAGGATTTATTTTTATGATGAAGCCCCGAAATTCGAAGGCATGGTTCTCCGTCTGTGGGGAAATATTTCCGTCTCTTAAAGTATAGACGTCCACCGATATGCCGAACGGGTAGGCAGGCGATGGGAACTCTTCTGTGCCTGGTCACCCCCATACTCATCAGTTATCTGGGCCTCGACTGTAAGCCCATAGCCCATTTGGTCGTCGTTTGGATAAATTAGAGCATCTCTCGCACTTTTCCGACGTGTAAAAGAAAAATGGGCCTGCCACCCTTTGGGCTTAGCCTCGGCCCAACTATGCGCTGGCATGGCACCCTCGGCCGTCCACTTCGCTGTCATTGTACTCGGCGTGGATCGGTCAATCTCGAGTACTCGCCTTTCTTCGTGGCCTTTTCGCCGTCACCTTCAAGAGCTTGATTTTGGACAACAAGAGAGCATCCCTGATGAAGGACAAACGAGCAAGGCCATCCCCGCTCATCCACACCCCCCCTCCCCCCCCACCCCCCCCCCCGAAGATATTTGAATGGACATTTTTGTTTCTCGCGTACAAAACTGGAGAGTGAGGGCAGAAAATACTAGTCTTTGAGACGGAAAGCAGCAATGCGAGAAGGAACCATCCACGGGCGCCGTCTTGGGTTTCACCTCCTGCCTCTAAACCAATCAGGAAGCGCGTACGCGTTGGGAGAAGGACTACAATTGTCGGAACTAATCTTGATCCGCCGGCGCAGGAAGAGAAAGTGGTCGTCCCATCTTTCACGGTTTTAGCCTTCTTTCAGGGACGGATCAACGCTCTGCCCCGGAATTCCCAACTGGCTCAGAGGAGGCTGTGTGAGAACTCCGCCGCATGGTGGGAAGCGGGAATGTTTGACCCCCAGGAAAGGTAGGGCACGTCCACGGATTCTGGTAGCCACATCCGACTGCCTGTTGAAGATGGTTAGACGGTAGCTCCAGATGCGAAGCTGTGGACAATGTGGTGGAGGAAGATGTGGATGAAGGGTTGCCCGCGAAAGAGCCGGCGCGCCTCTCTTCCTTCTTGTGGCGGATGCCGCATGCGTTGCACAGAGACTGCACCAGATATCCCGTACATGGAAAACAAAGGCCTCGGATATTGAGGGGAACCGACATAGTATCTTATCTACTAGAAAAAGGGGGCAAGCGAGTTCATTCATGTGTGGTGACAGGTTACCTTGAGGCCCCGAGGGTCATTCATGCGTGGTGGTAGGTTACAGCTCCTGAGCTAAAACTCTGCATAATGACGAATGGATCATCCCAACAAGATTTGAGTTTACCTGAAAATAATTTTAAATGAGAATTATACAACCAAATATTTTCCTTTTAAAAGAATAATTTATGGTTGATCTTTTTTTCGTGAAATACTTTAGGCTTGACCTTGTAGATATTAGAATTCTCGTAAGCTTTATTTCTTAACTCTTGTAATTCTTGCAGCTGAAGGAACATGTTGATTTCTTGCATGATCTAAAGAAAGATTAAGTTGTTTGATGGCCTAATATGTCTGATATTCAATTTTTATAGGTAAATGACATACTTTGTCATAAATTAGGTGAAAAAGAGACATGACAATTGAATTTTTAAGCACTATTCTATAAGCACATAGCACATTAAGAAGCTTCTTGACATAATCTTTACCATTAGGCCATATGATCTTCTTCAAGATCTTTTTAAGTTCTTTATTGTTTAATTCCACCTATCCATTAGCTTGAGGATGATAGGGAGTCATCATCCTATGCTGCACTCTATATTTTTAAAGTAAATTCTAAAAGTAAAAATTATTAAAATGAGATCTGCCATCACTAATGATAGTATGCAGACATCTAAATCTAGAAAAAATATTATACACAGTGAAGTTGCATACAATTTTATGATCATTGGTCATAGTGGAGATGGCTTCTACTCATTTGGAAACATAGTCAATGGCTAATAAAATGTATTCATTACTTATGGATAAAGAAAATTGATTCATAAAATCTATCCCCAAAGGTCAAATATTTCTACCTTCAAAATTGACTTAAGGGGCATTGCATCCTTCTTCAAGATGTTTACCAAGACTTGTCATGTGACATATGTCTTGAAAATTGATGAGAATCTTGAAAAATTGTAGGCCAATAAAATCCACATTATAATTTTTTTGTTGTAGTCTTCTTAGATTCAAAGTGTCCTCCACATGTTGAAGAATAAAACACGGTTAGTATGCTGAATTGTTCCTCTTCAAGCACACATTGGTGCAAGATTTGATCAATTATTAAATGAAATAATTCAGGTTCTTCCTAAAAATAAACCTTAAGGTCATTGAGGAACTTAGGTCTCATGCTCTACCAACTTGTGGGCACGACTTGTCATCAAAAAATTCACAATATGTGCATACTATGGCAGTGCACATGTATCAACTTTTAATAAATATTAAGTAGGAAAATAGTCTAAAATAGGCAGATTGGTAGATACATGAAAGTCTAGTTAAATAGTTTGTGACATAATTCTTGCTACCCTTCTTGTCTTTGATGTTTAAATCAAGTTCTTGTAATAAAAGTATCCATCAAATTAATCTCAATTTAGCTTCCTTCTTGACTAAAAGAAACTTGATAGTTGAATGGTTTGTATAGACAATTACCTTAGTTCCTAACAAATATGATCGAATTTTTTTCAATCTAAAGATAATAGCCAATAACTCTTTTTCTATAGTAATGTAATTTAATTGGGCATCAGCTAGAGTTTTACTTGAAATCATGACTAATTTCTTATCAATTCGCTGGTTTAAGACTGCTCCTACAGTAAAAAGGTAAGACCAATTAAGGCCCTGTAAAATTGGGGCTTCTATCAATGCTTGTTTCAATTCATGAAAGCTTCTTTTCCTTTGGTGCTAATCATAAGATTAGTATATTTAAAAAGTAATTCAGTGAGGATTTTAGCTAAATTTGTAAATCCTTTGATGAATTTTCTAGAAAACCCTATGTCCTAAGAATGCACACAATTGTTTAAGAGAAGTAGATAGAGGAAGATTCTTGATTATCTCAATTTTTACTTTGTCGACTTTTAATCCATGCTGACTGACTACATGCCCAAACACCACGCCTTCCTTATCATAAAGTGAGACTTATTTCAACTTAGAATGAGCAAATTATCAACACAAATTTACATCACTTTAGTCAAATTTATTAAACAATCATTGAAAGTTTATCTCAATATAGAAAAATCATCCATAAAATTTTCAAGACAATATCCTACTAAATTAGAAAAAAATGCATTCATGCATCTTTGGAATACTGCTAATGCATTGCATAATCCAAATGGCATCTTTGTATATGCATATGTTCCAAATGAACAAGTGAATGTTGTCTTCTCTTGATATTCTGGACAAATTTTAATCTAATTATAACTTGTGTAACCATCTAAAAAAATAAAATAGTATTGTCCTACAAGACATTCTAAAATCTGATCATTAATGAGTAAAGAAAAAGGATCTTTCTTTGTTACTTGATTGAGCTTTCTATAGTTAATACAAATACATCAGCTAGTACCGAGTCTTATTTAGGTATCTTCTCCCTTTGTATTTTTAGAAACTATTATACTTGATTTTTTTGGAACAATATGAATGAGACTTAACTACATGGTGCCAGATATTGTATAGATTATCCCCACTTCTAACCACTTTATGATCTCAACCTTGATTACCTCCAACATCATTGGATTTAATCTTCGCTGCACATCTCTCATTGGTCGAGCATTATCTTCAATAAAAATACAATGCATACATACCTCAAGACTAATGCCTTGTATATCCAATATAGTCTATCAAATCGTTGCTACGTACTTCTTCAATATCTTGCTAATCTCCCTTCCAAATCACATGTTAATGATGATGAAATAATTACAAGAGATGAGCGGTTTAAGCCTAAGAATGCATACTTCATATGTGAAGGTAGTAGCTCCAAAATTAGCGGAGGGCTAGATTGGTCTGGAACAAACTTCTCCTTAGTTGATTCTGTTAGTCCTCCATCACACAACTTATCTCTTTGCTGAAAACTTCTCCTTAGCTGAATACTGCTCCAAAGAGTCTAGTTGTAGAGGAGCAAACTTCTCCTTAGGGTTTAGAGTTTAGGGTTTTTTTTTCTCAAAAGTAGTTCATTGATTGATGATCCATGATTTATACATCATTTTGGATCATTCTTTGAATTTATTGAGTTTGGGGAATAGAATTACAGATACTAAATGACCCCTTAGTTAAACTTGTGTAGCCCCTTTGGTTCCCTATTTGATAGTATGGCCGTTGATTTCGTCCTTCTACTATTGGGTGTCTTGCATAATGTGGCATATTATTGAGCTTTCTTTCTAGTTGTTGGGCCTATTGTTTTTGGATCTTGACTTTGGTTGACGGTCTTGAGTTTGAGGTTGTTGAACCGATTGGAGGTCGTTGAGTCGGCCATTGGGTAGTTAGGTTTTTGAGGTGTTTCATACCATTCAGACCTTAGCAATCATGACTTTGGGTAATCTTTTTCCAGCTAGGGATGCCCTTTCCTCTGCTGCTAATCCTTGTCAATTTTTGTTTTGGGGCTTGTTTTCTTCTTTGAATTACTTTGTGTGCTCTTTTTCCTTTAAACTTCTCGTTTCTGTAATGATTGTTGTGTGTTGTTTCTTTCTTGTGGCCTGCATTTCGAATAAGAAAAAGCACTGCAGTATACCATATACAGGAGAAAATAGGATGTTCCTCTTATTGAGGACTGTTTATCCATTTTCAATCTTTCTCTGGTCACCTAGTTGATTCCTAACTTTATTTCTCTCTAGGTTTCCTCTTTTGTCTTTTGTTCTTTTAATTAGTTATGAAGTATTCATGTATAAACTATTCACTTGTTTGCTCGTTCCTAATTTCTTTGCTTGCAATTAGATTGATTCCGACCATTCCTAATGTGTGAAGACTTTTGGGTCTGTTGAGGCTTTTCCTTCAACCCTTTCTTCCTCGAGGTTGCTTTTGTCTTTGAATCCTTTCTTTGAGGTAGGTATTTTGGATAGAAGGGTAGCATTTTCCTCACTGATTGTTTGTCCCTTTCCCCTCTCATTTTCACCTTCTCTCTTATTTTTTCCCCTTTTTTTTCTCCTTTTCTAAGAGAGGAGGGGAGAACATTATTGGCTGTTGGCACTTCCACTCCTCTTTCTTTTTTCTTCCTTCATGTACTTTGATTCGTTGACTTATACATGCCTTCTTGGATGATTGGGTGGAATTTTGAGCTTGTTTATGCCCTTCAAACTTCACATCCATATCCATGATCATCATCATGTTGTTCTCATAATTAAGGCATCAAGTTTGGGCTGTCAAAGTTCAATTCTATGATCTTCATAAATTTTATTTTATTTTATTTTGTATGGTCTATTGCTCCTTATAATGTATTCATGATGATTTTTCCTTCTATTCGAGCATTGAAGAATGAAATTAACACTATGACTTATTGACGTGACTTAGTCGTTGTACAGTAAATCACAGAAATTTAAAATTTATAAAACTAAAAATACTAAAATTTGGATATTTAAAAATATTTATGAATAAATATATCAATTGTAATTCAATAAAAGTTTTAAAAATAATAAAAATTTCTCAAGTCAATCATAGAGATGTAATATACTATCACGTAATATTTCAAAAAAAATATCAAATAATATAATTTTTTATAAATCTTAAAATAAAAAAGAAAAATAAAATATATTAAAAATTTGTAAATAAAGAAAAATAAGGGTGCATCGTCAAGATGATGTCAGCACCAGACAAATGTGAATCAGATAGAAATAGAGTTTCACTTGGTGATTCTTACATAAGTAATTACAAATGATTTAATTAGTCAAATTATTATTCGTAGAAGTCGAAAGTATTGTAATTGATTGAAGAGTAGTTTAGAAAATTTTAATCACACAAATTATCTCTAAATGAAACGAAAATTAAGTGAAAAGTAGGAAATAGAGTTCTGGCATCGAAGTGGTGATGTGTCAATGATGTATTGAAATCTTGAGTGTTTGAGAGGATGTTGTGTAGCGTCCATGGCCCTAAAGGCTCTACTTGGACAAAAACTTTTTGTGAAGTTTAAAGATCAATAAAATGGGTTATTAAATCCTCTCCGACGACTATCACCCGGCAGAGCGAAAAAATGATGATTTTGTGGCTCTCTAACGATTGTCACCTAGTAGAGAGGAGCTGGATGGAGGTGGGGCACGTGTTAGGAAGCTTCATCTTCAGGTCCCCGCAACAACATAGGGCTCTTTATCACATCTAGTACGCTCTTAGAAGGTGGCGAATCATCTCTTGATAGATTGTCCTCTTCCCGATGATGGCTTGCTCGTCGATCAATTAGAGATGATTTACTAGGTGGATTCACAGTCTTTTTGTCATGTATCATTTAATAATTTTAGTAATAATACTTCACAAATCACGTTGATGGGATTTTCGCTGATGATTGAATGGTTCTAGCGACTTAATCCTTCATCGACGATCTACAAGAAAGTCGTGATTTAATTAGATAAAAATACGAGTTTTGACTCTAGTAGGATTCGAACCCATGCTTGTTGCTTGCCTACATGAGAGAGAGTGAATAAATACTTAAATATCCTTATATAGTGACATCGTCATAATATCTCGTTGTTATAAATAAAGAGTATTTTAGGTATTAAAATCTTTGAGATATTTCAAAGAAAGTGTGAGGTAGGTTTAGTCCCACATCGATTGTATGCTAAAGGTTTAGAGAAATATATAATAATACCAGATTTAGAAGCAATGAGTCCCTTTCTCGTGTGTGTACGACCACTCCTTGCTCGACAGTTGGCTAACTACTAGTGATGTGCAAGGAGAGTGACGTACATGTGCCCCCATTGGTCCACAATTGCTCAAGCCCCCTGCTCGCAGCTTCGCCCTGATTGCACTTCCAACTCACTTGCGGGCCTAGTTGGCTGACGGGTCCACCCTTTTTCTATGTTTTTATTTATTTTCTTTTTCTTTATTTATCTCAAAAATAAAATTATAAAAATCATATAAAATCACAGAATTAGCCAAAAAATCACATTAATCAATTGAAATATACTTTTCATAATTTAACACATATATAAATCTATTTATCATGAGTTAATACTAAAACTATATTATTTATTAATTATTTACTGATGATAATGAAAACTTATCACTTATGTTGTATGTAAAGATGAAGCAATTTAAGTCTTTGTTGTACCTTTCATTTTCTTATGTATGTTCTTTTTGTTGTATCTTTTTGCTTGTCACTTCATTGGGTCTTCATACTTATTTTTGTGTTCTTTCTAGATCGTGCTCCTTCATTCATGATCCTTATTATTGTTCAGTTCATCCTTCTTGGTTTGGTTTGATCCTTCTTTGTCTTGTGCACTTGATGTATGGCATGCCCCAGTGCTCCAAATTATATATGCTTTTCCCTTCCGAAGGTAGATCTTGCACACATTTGTAGATTTTCTCCTCTTCCTGTAGTAAGCTCAGTTAGCTAGACAATCAGCCGATTAGTTGCCTGTGTGATAAATATGTCTTGTGCACAAAGACATAGAATCAAGTCCAAGATTCTATGTCTTTGTGTTTCAATTTATTTCTAGGTTCTTTGTAATTTCCATTGGTTACATTTATTTTTCCTAAACATATTTGTGAGTGTCATTGAGTCAGTTTCTATTGCGATGTTATATATGTTCAGTTTTTCACATAATCTTAATCCATCATCTAGTGCTTTGCATTTTGCTTCCATATTGGTTAGTATTTCAGATTGGGCTGAGAATGCTTCTATTAACTTTATGGAGTTATCTCGAATTATTCCTCCTAATGTTTCAGGGTTCCCTTTGGATGCCCCATCAATGTTCAGTTTCATTTCACCCTTTGGAGGGGGAACCCATTTGATGATCTTTATTGCTGGGTAATATATAACATTTTCAATCTCTACTTCTTATCTTTGTAGAATTAATTTTTCTTTGTTGGTTATTTGGTTCTTGTTTACATTCATCCTAGGCTTTTCATCTACATTTTACATTTGTGCATAATTAGTGGTATGGGGATTTTATCATCATTCATTTGTATTTTTTTCCTTCCTATCCATAGTTCTCACAATAAGCACGAAATGTTTATTTTGCACCATTGATTTTGTTGTTCTCTCTCTTGTTCTTGTCTTCTTAAACATTATGTGTTCAAAGTAGTTTTTACAATTGGTACCTCAAACTCCCCATAGATCTCATTTTTGAAGTAACCACATCTAACATTTTATGGCCCATTTGCTTTTAAAGAAAACATGATCCATGTTTTCCTCTTGTGGGTTCTATGGACATCATACACACTTTAATGGAAATTTGAATCCTAATTTTCAAATATTCATGTCTAATGGCAGGCAGTTTAAAAGGAGATTCCACATAAAGAAAGAGATTTTCGTTGATAGTATTTTGTTTCAGATACTATTTCCCCAATCAATTTTTTGACCCCTTATTTTTGAAGTATTCCTAGGCTGAACTTACACTAAATTCTCAACTTGTAGTTAATGGCCATATGCGTAGATCTTCTCTTGGGTTTGTAATGTGGAATGTTTTGTCAATTTGTTTTATGAGGTTCATGTTCACTCATGTAGTGTATAGGATTTCTTCCTAGTTTCTTGCCATTAATTAAGATACTATCATTTTTGGTCTATTAGTGTGGATCATTTTTAGTTGGTTTAAGATTCTCATTTTGGACTAATTGTCATTCCATACATTAATGTTTCCTTTTTCCACTTCTCATCTTACTACATTTTTCATGTCTATTCATGTTTCTTGCATTCTTTTTCATCTTATAGGGCCTTTAATTTTAGATTTTTTCTATTGCCTATTCTTTAAATTTTATTTTAACCAATTTGAATCATTAGGATGTTTTTGTTTTGCATCTTTATACTATCTCCATTCTTAGACATCTTAGTTGGTCCTTTATCCTTTTAATTTCTAATACTCCTTCGTCAATTTGTTGACAAATGTACTTTCATGAAATTTAGTGATATTTCGCCCTATTTTCTATATCTCTTCATAAAAATTTTGTCATCATTTTTTCTATTCTTTTAATAATGCTAGTAGAGATATCATATACAGCAAGGGTATGTATGGGGATGCTGCTCAAAATGCTTTTGATTAGGATATTCTCCCTCTTGGTGATAATAGTTTTGATTTTTATCAGTCCACTTTTCTCTTTATTTTTAGGATGTATTCAAAATAAGATTGTTTCGTTCTTCATTTATAGATTGGACATTCGAGGTAGGTGAATGGCATATTTTCTTTGTTGAAGCTAGTTAGTTTTTTGATTCTTTTTTCTCTTCTCTTTGGGCTTTTTTGACATAAGAAGAATGTTGATTTGTTTTTATTAATCTTTTCCCCTGATATTTTTTTGTATTCAGCTAGAAATTTCATATCAATTTTTTTATGGAATTTCTTTTGCTATTAGTAAATATTGTTGAATAATCCGTGAATAATTCATGTGAGACTAGTGGACAATTTCTTATCATTGTATATTTTTTGATGTTTCCATCTTGAAATAATTTTGTCAACCCTCTACTCATTACTTCTTCTACTATTATGAATAGGGCCGCCTTGTCTCAGTCCTCTACTTGGAGTAAAAAAGGTGTAGATTTACCATTAATGATAAGAGAAAAGTGATTGTTCTCTATGCATACTTTGATTCATTCTATCTATTTTTTTACTAAATCCAAATTCTTCTAATACTTCTATGATGAATCACCATTCAATTATGTCATATGCTTTAGCCATGTCAAGTTTTAATACGATGTTACCTCCTAGTATCTTGTTGCTGATGGATTTGGTGATTTCATGAACTAACGCAATGTCCTTAGTGATTGATCTTCCTTCCAAAAAAGCCCCTTATTTAGGCGATATAATTTTGGATAAGATTTTCTCAAGTTTTTGGGATAGTATTTTGGTAATTCTTTTGTAACAAACATTGTATAAACTAATTGATCTGAATTTAGAGAAGTTTTTCGGTAATTATTGTTAAGTTATTAAAGTAATGAATGTAGCTTTCCATGAATGTGATAAGGAGTTTGATGACATGAATTCTTTGATTGCTTGACATACATCTTCACCTATTATATCTCAACATTCGGTATAAAATCTCACACCTATTTCATCCGGCCTCAAAGCAGTATCCTTCCTCATGTTGAATATTGTTTTCTTAATTTCATTGTTATTTGGTAATCTACTTAGTGCTTCATTGTCATCCTCATTTATACATTTGGAGATTACGTCAAGTAATTTGTGCTTATGATTTTGTGATTCTATTTGTAGTAAGTTTGAGAAGTGATTCATCCCTTCTCTCTATATGTTGGATAAATAATAATACACTCTCCCTCTCTTTGTCCTAACTTGTTTTGAATAGTTTAATTTGAGAATGGTTCGTCATTGCATAGTTTTTTCTTATCTTTCCTCTATATGCAATGCACCAAAACGCCATTAACGTTGCATGTCGTTGAAGATGGATGTACCTTCTTCAGGTCTCCCCACCCCTCCAAGGGTTGTTTCTTGCTAATTGTACGTTTTCCTGCACTACACGAGTTAGAGCATAGAATCTGAATCTTTGTGGTACGACATCACGCTACTTCTCTTTGACAAAGACCACACGAATTCGCAATGGCACTTGGCTTCCTAGTCCCGCCACCCAATTGAAAGGTCGGGATAGTGTGAATCCAGACTTGTCTACATTATTGCTCGATTTAACCCTTAGAATCAAGTCAAGACATCAAAATAATAGAGATAAGGGATTTGTTCACAACTCTAGTGACATCTTCTATCACTTCAATTTGAGAATTCATTCCATCAGTTGGTACTACACAGTAGAAAAGATGATGAGAGGCCACACTACAGAGAGAAAGGTGTTAGGTTTAGAGCCCAACCATGTGGAGACCTCTCCCTTATTTTTCTTTTCACACCATACACCATGCTACAAAGGAGAGCCTTCACTATTAGCTTCTTTTAGTATATGGCTAAATGGATTGTTTTTCTTTCTAATTTTGTGGTAGCATGGAAAAATTTGGTATTTCCATCACCCTCTTTTAGCCAATAGATTCTAGCTTTTTATTTCAAAAAGGTTTTATGTTGTGTGGTTATATCATCTACCTTTGTTTTAAGTTTAGTGTATTCCTTCAATTTATCTTCATTATAATTGTCTTTGATTTCCCATTCGAGTTTGATAAGTCTTCATTATCATGAGTTAATAATTAGTAAATAATATAATTTTAGCCTTAACTCATGATAATAGACTTATATTTGTGTTAAAGTGTAAAAAGTAGTTTTCAATTGATTAACGTGAATTTTTGGCTAATTATGTGATTTTATACGAATTTATATAATTTTTACAATCTTACTTTTGAGATAAATGAAGAAAAAGAAATAAAAATAAAAATATAGCAAAATAGGGGGTACTCGTTAACCAGCTAGGCCCGCAAGTGGTTCGGAAGCGCAGTCAAGGAAGAGCCACGAGTAGGGGCTCAAGTGGCTAGGACTGATTGGGGCACATGTGCGCTACTCCCCTTCCACCTCACCGGTGGCCAACCGGTTGTGGGACAAGGAGTGGTCGTACACGGGGGAGAAATGAACTTACTTGCAAATGTAATATTATTATATATTCACCCAAAACTTCGACGCACAAGTAATGTGGGACTAAACCCACGTCAAACCTTCCCTAGAAGGCTTTGATAATTTTAATACCTACGATACCCCTTATTTATAATAGAGATATACTATGATGATGTCATTTTATAAGGGCATTAGAGTACTTTATGTCAATCTCTCTCATGCAAGTAGGCAATTGATAGGGGTTCAAATCCCCTCAAAACCAAAACTCATATTTTTTATCTGATTATCATGACTTTCTTGCAGATCGCTAGTGAAAGATTAAGCCACCAGAATCACTGGATCATTGGCAAAAATCTTATTAACATGATTCGCGGACTATTATTACTAAAATTATTGAATGATTCACGATAAAAAGATCACGAATCTATTGAGTAAAGCATCTCCGATTGATCGATGAACAAGCCATTGTCGGGAAGAAGACGATCCAACAAGAGACGAGTCGCCACCTCTTGCGAGTGTACTAGATGCGATGAAGAGCCTTCTCTTGCTGTGTGAACCTGAGGATGAAGCTCCTTGACACGCATCCCACCTCCATTCAGCTCCTCTCCGTCGGGTGACAGCCACCGAAGAGCTGCAAAGTCGCCATTTTTCCTCTCCGCTGGGTGACAGCTACCGGAGATGATTCAACAACCCATTTCCTTGAACTCTAGATTTCGTAAGGAGATCTAGAGATTACCCATGTCGTCCTTGTCTAAGGAGAGCCTTCAAGGCTGTGGACACTATACAACGATCCTCTCAAATGCTCAACATTTTGGTGCATCGTCGACACATCGCCGCCGTGACGCTAGAACTCTTTTTTCCTACTTTCAACTTAATTTTTACTTTATTTACTGATAATTTATGTACTTTAAATTTACCAAGACATACTTCATTCAATTATGATTCTTTCAGCTTTTATAGATTTTAATTTAATCAATTAAATCATTTGTAATCACTTACGTAAGAATTACTAGGTGGAACTCTATTTCTGCCAATTCGTTTGCCAGGCCTTGACGTCATCCTGACGTTTGCACTCTTATTTCCCTTTTTCATGAATTTTAAATATATTTAATTTTTATTTCCTAGTATAAAATTCATAAAAGATAGTATTCTTTGAAAACAATTCTGAATAATTACCCAATATTATATTACATTTCTATGATCGACTTGGAAAATTACCGCTATTTTAGGTATTGAATTATAATTAATATATTTGTTTAGAAATACTTTTAAATATCTAAAAATTCATATTTTCTAGTTTTATAAATTTTAAATTTATGTGATTTACTATACAACGAATAAGTCACCTAAGAGTTCTTCTAACTCCATGGTCATATTCTACATTTTAGTGTTAATGTTTCTGAATATATTTTTGTTCCACCATTTTAAGTGTATTTTCATGTTTCGTAATTTATAACTTAGGTTAACCATGTCACTTGTTGTCACTTTTCCGTCCTAGTGTTCTCTCACAAATGATTTAAATTATTTATGTTTAGTCCACCTGTTTTGAAATAAAAATGATGTTCCACTAATCAACGTAGCTGTAAATTCTGAGATTAGGATAAGAGTATGATCCAAGTAGGTTCTTGGGAGGTAAGCGATGTTAAATTACTTAATTTTGGTAAATTTTTTGTTAACTAGTATTCTATCCAGCCTTTAGTAAATTCTATTCACACCTTTAGTTCAATTGAACCATGTCATGTTGTTTCCATCATGACTTATTTCAATGAGTTTGAGGTGTTGAATTGTTTTGTTAAATTTATTCATATGATTGAAATTCGTTTTGGTGCCACCTCTTTTTTTAGTTAGTTTATTATTATGTTGAAGTCCCTTCTGATTGTGCTTCATAAGAGTCATATCTTATACTTACTTTTTCTATTATGTTTTGATAGGATATTTAAGTTGTTGCTATTTGTTCATGATCAGATGTGATGGTGATCAAAATATGATTTCGCCAAAAAAACCATATTTTGTTACTTTTTTTGGTCCATGTATGTTCTCTTTTTAATTGTTGTTTAGAATTTTCTAATTTTTCTTATTTTAGCATAGGTTCCATTGTGGTAACTAGCTCAATTTTGTGCTCATGTATTCGTCACCTAATTCTATGTTTTATTTTTTAGTTTCTTATTCCTCTATAGTTCCATATTAGGGAGTTATACATTAGAATAGTTAGTTAATCAAGATGGTCCCGATCTTAGTCTCTTTGATCTTCTATAATTGTGTGTGGTATTTTTCCTTATATTTTTATTTTTTGTGTGTGGTTCATTAGGTTTGCTCTCCTCTTCTCTTTTCAATTTGAGTTGTCATATGACTATCTCCTCTTGGTATGAGTAGTCTTTCTCTATACATGTGTCCTCTTCTATCTCTTCAATTAGTTTTTTTTCATTCTTTTTAGATGTTGAAGCTTTAGAGTTTTTCTCATGTTATGTTTCTACATTAATGTGTCATGGGTTGCTCCTCTTAGAGCATACTTCTTGTTCTTCTCTTCCTATTGATAATATTGTTACTGCTAATTGATAGACTTATCCTCTATCTATTAATGGTAATATAATGGGGGTTTGAATGTCTAGGAGATTCTTGTATTGTTTTCTCTGTGTGCTCTAGTGTCTTGCATCTAGTAATCCATATTTTTATTCTCATGATTTTCAGACTAGGAGGGATATTTTCTATTCTATTCTTCTTATTACGTAGTGATTGTAGTGGGGTGGGGTGGGTATTTCATTGCTTAAGTTATTAGTGGTTCTTTCATTAGTTTTTCGGGTTTGAATTATGCTACCTCATTATCTTTTATATCTTCTATTAGTTGGTTATTACTTATGGGGATGTGATTTTGACTCTCAATTTCTTGAGTTATGTTTTCATTTGGGAAAATTTTGATTGTTTTATCAAGGAGTTTTCCTTCATCTTTATCTTTGGGTGGGTGTGGGTTATCCTCTCTTGGTTGTTTTGGGGTTTCGGTCATACTTTTACTTATGTTGAGGGTGTGCTCCTCTGCTACCTAGATATTTGGTGTTTCGGTGATAAGTTTTCTTTTTTCCTTGTTGTTATCTACCATGTCTCTATTATGTGAGCTCTCTATCTCTTTTTTCCTCCATATCTCTATTATATTATTCCTAGGTGAGTTATTTCATTCATCTCTGAAGTATTTCTTACTCCTTTCTTGGTTATTGTTCTTCCTTTGATGCAAAGCTTGGAATGCATTATCCATATAGTTATACCAATAATTCATTATATTATGGCCTAGTTATCTACACACCATACAAGAAGGTGGGATTGATTCTACCACAATCAGTTGCTAAATGTTTTCTTAGTCACTATGCTTTATCATAATATATTTAGGGATGGGGACTGAAATATCAATCTCTATATAGGCTCTAACATATCTTGGCCTAGTAAATTCTATTACGTCTCTATTCATTCTAATGAAGTTGCCTAGGAGTCTTTCTATGACTTTGAATGCCTCTAGGTTTAGGAAGTGGGGCCATATGCTTCAAAATCCTATCTAGATTGGTACTAGTGGGGAGTCAACAATGGTGAAAAGTGGGGGGTTCATCTAAATGTAGACATAACATCCTTCTTAATGAGCCATATAGATATACTCCATACATATCTAAACTCTATTTCTAGTTCAAATCTGATTATTATATTTCTAGCATCTAAGACTTCTACGTAGATTCTTTCTTCTAGGTTTTGTATCTTTATTATTTCATCTCTAATAGTAATGAGTAGTTGTCAATTTCAGGAATTTTTTTCTACTAGAGCGTCTTTAAAAGGGGTGGCTAATTGTTTGATTTTTTCTTTTGTGAATTCTATCATGGGAATGCCATCTTGTAGGTATGGTGGTGTCTTGGGTTTAGTTTGCACATATTGGGGCCTATGTGTTCATTTCTTATGATTTTGACATATGACATCATTGGAAGTGCAGTGCCTTCACTAACTTGATTAACATGCTTTATAGAAATGTGGTTTGGTAATACATTGTCCACCTTGTGAATTTTTTTAAAAATCTTTTGCCGTTATTGATATATATGAGGTGAGGATTTGTGTCAATGTCATCATTGAACTGGTCGATGATTGCTTTTGATTTTTTGTGTGTATGCTCTGATTCCTTCCTCACTAGTTATATTGTCTAAATTGTAACTAGAAGTATGTTATAAATATTGAAGAAGAATTGAGAGTTGAGCAGATGGTGCCCACACCTTTGGTGACTAGGTCTTATCAGTTGACATATTGTTCATCAGTTGGTCAACTCTTTCTACATCCATTGACTCTGAATTTTGGTTTAGTACTTGGGCTGACTAATGATAGTATTATTTTGATTGTATTGTCATATTTTGATAGGATGTCTTCTCTCATATTTTTCTAATTGTGCTTTGGGGGGGGTTAATTTTCATTGATTGTTTGACTGCTAACTTCTAACTTATTCCCTTTTAGTAGCTCGCTATTGATGATGTTTATATTAGTGCCCTCTTTCTTTTTCTTTTCTTTGCTTTTGTTCTAAATCAAGATCTATTAATGTTTGGATCTTGGTCTATCATAGCGCTATTCTATTGGTGGGGTTAGTCAATGCTCTTCCTTTTAGAGTTGGTATGGAGTATTGACCTTCATCCTTTTTCTTGATAGTTGTACTATTGGGATTAATAATGTTGAAGGATTCCTTAACCACCTCATTTGCCATGTTCAGTAAGTCACATAATTTCAAGATATTTGTGTTTCCCCCTTTGGCTAGTTGATATCTCAATTCATTTAATTAGGGGCATTGATCTTCCTCTTTTTCTACATCAATTCATAGGTGGATGTGGTGATACTTGTCTATGATGATTCCCCTATGGGTTTGTAGTCACTCGATTGTGTCTCAGAGTTATCTTTGTCCTTAGGTGATTCATCCATCATGTGCTCATCTCCCTCTAATGGACTTATGATTCAGTTCATTCAGGCCAAATTTCCCTTGATTCTTTGAGGTAATTGCTTCATCCATAGAGGTAGCAAATTGGGTTTTTAAGACAACCATCTCTTGAGAGATAGTGTTTGATGTTTCTAGATTTTTCATCTTGTCATTGATAATAGCTATTGGGGATTTAATAGTCGAGCCTTCCTTACTCTTTCCCTTTTTTCTTTGAATATTCTTTTATTTGTTAAGATTATCTTTTGATTGAGATTCAGAATAAATTCTTCAGTTTCTTCTAGTGAGTTTTGCTGGTGTTGAGTGCGATTTATTCCTACCTATATCTTTGCTGTTGATTTGGTGATGATTTATGGGTTGGCATTCTAGTAATCATTATTATACTAAAACTAATGATTTGATGTCCCCTTCGGGAAGTTTCTTGTCCTTAATAATTTAGCATTTTAGGGTTTAGGGTTTTGGGTTTTTTTATTTTTATCAAGGGTTAATATGACCCATGAAACCTGCAGATGGGAGCGAGGGCTGCCGTGTATATAGACTACTTGTGACAAAATTAGTCCACAAGGGGAGGTGGGGAGTTCCTATCGGTACGAGAGCTAGGAGAAAGTCAACTTGAAAGTTAATATACACGCAAGGGGCAAGCTCTTGATGCACTCTGCAATGACATTTTGTTTGTGAATAAATTAATTTGTCGATCCTTCAATTTGAACAAGTGGCTCCACAATCTCAACAGGTGGCGCCACCCATTTGACAGAAAGCGCCATGGCTATCATCTCATAGATCTTCCCACTGAGTTCGGAGGGATTGTCGGGAGTGAAGCCACTGGAGATCAAAGCCATATCATAGAGAAGGTCAATGACTGTCAATGCCTTTGGATTGTCAAAAGAAGTTAGGCAGGCAACATTCAAATCTTTGATTATGGGATGGTCTGGGTTAATTCTAAACACTCTTCTGCTACGCATAAAGTCCAAGCTACTTGTATCCCCAATTGTCTGAGCCTTCATCAACCTTTTCATGTTCGTAGACTAGTCAAATTTCCCAGAGACGAGAACACATGGAGATGTACTGAGTCGGTTAGAAATCTAGACACTAGCTACTTTGTCCCCCAGCTTGTTCTTAATCTAATCGCACATTTGGCCGAATTCCTACTTGATCTCCTTCTCCTTCTCCTCTTCATTCCTATCACCTAGATCTAGGTCCTCCTTGGTGATGTCCACAAAATTCTTTTCCTTGTAGGATTTAAGCTTTGTAATGGCCACCTTGTCTATGGGATCAACTAAGAATAGAACTTCATATTCTTTCTCAAGAAGCCACTCCAAGAAAGGAGTGTTTTTCGTACTTGTCAAGCTGTCAGCTGCAATATAGTAAATATCCTTTTGTTTGGGGTTCATATTCTCCACATACTCATCTAAGCTGATCAGTTCTTGCTCACTATGAGATGAGAAAAATCTGAGCAGTGGTGCTATGCACTTGTGGTTTAGGTGGTCCTCCATGCAACCCAATTTCAAGTGTTTACCAAAGTTCTCCAGAAATTGTCATAGTCATCTCTATTCTCACTGAGAGAAATACCAAAATCATATTAAAAGCCTTTTGAACAAGGCGCTTTCTCATTATTTGTATTATGCGGCTTTCTTGGAGGATTTCATGCGATACATTAAGCGGAAGGTCATTTGAATCCACAATACCCTTCACAAAACTTAGGTACCTCAGGAAAAGTTCACCGTCAAACACATCAGAGATGAAAACACATTTGACATAAAGCCTTATGTTCCTCGTCTTTGGATTAACAATGTCATATCCTCTTCCTGCAGGACTTAAAGTTTTCACACAAATAGGATAGACCGAAACTCAACTTCACCCTCAGTTGTGAAGTGTGATGATGCTAAAGGATCTAAGTATTCCTTAGGTTTAAGGGTTTAGGTTTTTTTTTTTTTTTTTCTTTTGGGATAACTATCTTGGGCTGAACTTCTCGAGAGGTCACCCATCCTGGTACTTCACACACCCAAGCACTTTGGTGCCTCTCAACACATTCTCTGGGATGGCTCCCACCCAAGCACACTTAACTCCGGAGTTCTTATGGGATCCGGTGGCAACTCTCTCACTTAGGGGGGTTGGGTTTAGGTTTAGCGTTAAGGGTTTTAGGGTTTAGGGTTTAGGTTTTTTTATTTTTTTTATTTTTTAGATAACTATCTTGGGTCGAACTTCTCGGGAGGTCACCCATCTTGGTACTTCACACACCCAAGCACTTTTGGTGCCTCTCGGCACATTCTTTGGAGCTGAGTGCTTGTCGGCACATTACTGGTGAGATGGATGCCACATGTGCCTCTCGGCATGGTGGAAGGGGTGCCTCTCGGCACGTTCTTTGGAGCTGAGTGCTTGTCGGCACATTGCTGGTGAGATGGATGCCACATGTGCCTCTCGACATGGTGACAGGGGTGCCTCTAACACGTTGTTCGGAGTTGAGTGCCTCTCAGCACGTTGTTGGTGAGATGAATGCCACATGTGCCTCTCGGCATGGTGGCAAGGGTGCCTCTCGGCACGTTCTTCAGAGCTGAGTGCCTGTTGGCACATTGCTGGTGAGATGGATGCCACATGTGCCTCTCGGCATTGTGGCAAGGGTGCCTCCCGACACGTTCTTTGGAGCTGAGTGCCTCTTGGCATGGTGGCAGAGGGATTAATAACATGTGCCTAGTGCCTTTCAGCACATGCAAAGTAGGTGCCATGCGACGTGCGCACATGTACCCAGGGACTTCCTTGGGAGGTCAACCATCTGGGGATTGCTCCCACTCGAGCACCCTTAACTCCGGAGTTCTTATGGGATCCGATGGCAACTCTCCCACATAGGGGGTTTAGGATTTAGGGTTTTTTTTTTTTTTTTGAAATGAAGAAATTTGATTGAGTGCTAGAAGTTTGACCTCATTCTGAGGTCGCACAAAGGCGAGGATGAGATGGAGGATTATGGACCTCTTTTGAAGAGAGGATGTGACAAAAGTGGAGATAGATTCTAGTGTGCTCATAATGTTTGAAGAAGGTGGTTGATTTGCATTGGGCTGGAAGAGCCATTGAGTTCATGAAGTTGGAAGATCCGCTCAATAGTAGTAGGATGTGTATACCTCCGTGTTGTGTGCCATGAGGTGTTCTTGCAAAAAAAGAGTTTGCTGCAGTAAGTGGTTCTAAGAAATAAATAAAATGATATAAAGTGGTGAGAAAAGAGTGGTTAGGGCAGTGAGGAGGACAGAACTATGCTGGAGCATGACAATAAGCCCAAATATGAACTTGTTTTCCTAGTGTTGCATGCGCTTAATCCTTTTGGCCAAGATCTTGCTAGTACCATAAGGCACCAGCACGTTCTTGTTAGTATCATAAGCCTTATGATTTAGGGTTTAGGGTTTTTTTTTTTTTTTTTTTTAAGGATAACTGTCTTGGGCCGAACTTCTCGGGAGGTCACCCATCTCGATACTTCACACACCCAAACACTTTGGTGCCTCGCACATTCTTCGGAGATAGATGCCACTAGCACCTCTTGGCACATTCTTCATAGTTGGGGGCATCTTGGCATGGTGAGATGGATGCCACATATGTCTCTCGTCATGGTGGGAGGGGTGCCTCTTGACGAGACTAAATCGTATGGTCGTTGAATGCACACGATTCAGTGTCAAAACAAAGTCCTAATCTTACCAATTTATGATTAATCAAAGTAATTAATTAGTATAATGATAATTAAGGGTCGAATCCACAGAGAATTAGGGAAATTTGAGAGATATCTTTGAAATTCGGTCAAATCGGACAATGAAATTAGGTTCGAAATTGGTAATTTAGTATATTAAGAAAGATAACTCAATTTCGAATCCACGGAATTAAAAATCAGGTGATTTGGATAAGAATTCGAAGAGTAATCGAAGTTTGAAGTTAAGAGAAATTTTCGTATCGCGAAATGATTAAAAACAGAAATTAAAACTAAATTAAACTTAATCTACAATACTTAAAGTAAAATTAACACTAAATGATGAAAGATTAAGATGAAAACAAACAATCTAACCCAAATTAGCCTTCTAAATGATCCAATTAATCGCCGGATGCAAGGCTTTTCATTCCGAATTTTCAAA